TATTTTTGTTGAAAGCCACACACGTCTTATTGGTTTACCATATAAAATCCTGTCTTTTTTGGCAAGTCAATAAATGTTGATTCTCCTTTTAAGGAAGTGCTGATTCAATTGGCAGCTAAAGTCCATTTTTTGGTATGTAATCAACGTGATCGCGTACAAATTATTTTGTGGCCCCATTGCAACGCATGTGCAATTATCTAGTAAAACCAAAAAGTCATAGTTGTGAGCTTTCCTTTGTGTATCCAATAATGAGTTTAGATAATAACTTAATTTACCTTATTTTGTCGTGCATCATGGGCCAATTCTCTACTTTTCAATGTTCAGTGGGAAAGCGGTGGGGGATGCCCCCACAGCGAACTCAGTTGGCACTAGATGTTCCTGTTTCAAGTTCATGCCTTCTAGGTACGATATTATTTCTAAGAACTTTCAGTGGAAGTACAAATAGATATGTGTGCGTAATTTTTTACGGATACCTATCAGCTGCAAATACTAATGAGTAGGGGCAGATAAGCTCATTAACTCGATAACGGTGCAAACTCTAGCTTTTTGTTCTTCCAAGGATAGAACAGAAGCACACAAGAATTAACATTTTACTCGCAGTTATACTGTTAGACTCTTGTGATCAGATAATTAAATGACTGAATTATATTGACATAAAAATCCACGGCATATTTTACGATATGATGACTGCAATAAAGTATTAATATTTGCAGGTCTACCAACTACATTCACTACTTAACAAATTCAATATAGGTAATCTTGCATCTTGGGCTTGTTGTCTTGAAGTGCCCATAATGTGGAATAAACCATTTGCTTTTTTGACAAATGTTTTGTTAATATTTGCCACAGTATGATGGCTTGTGGACATCATGCCTGGCAGATCCCCAAGTTCTCAGTTCTTTACCAATCCAAGACATAAGGAAATGCCAAAGCAGATGGAATTTTTGTGAAGAAGAATCGAATGGAATTAAGTAGCCAAGTAGAAATTGTTTTTTACTGGCCAGCCACCAAGAACACTATCAATCTAGCTAATATGAAGCTGTATCACAAGTTCTTCATATAAGTTAAAATATGATTGGACAGCCTAAGAAATACCTCCATAAGAAATCTAGGTTGCAACCCCTTGTACAGCCGGTTGGTGTCCTCTTCTGATGCTGCAGCCTGCCAGTGGAACGCCTCCCTTGCTGTGCCAACTGCTGCCGCATCAACCTCTGAACCAGACAGATCGTATGGCTCATCATATGCCTCCTCCCACAAGATCCTTGTCCTCTCCACCGTCTCCTCACTGGCCACCTCCCTATAACTGACCACCATTTTCATAACATTGTCCTT